AGAAACAAAGACTGAAATAGGAAGCAGAACTAAATAAGAACATTGTTATTTTGAAAATCGCACAAGCCCACTTCTTTCAAACCCTGGCTTGAAGAAAATGTTTTTCTTAAAGGTAGAGAAAATTAATTTGGTTATGTTTATCAACAGACTCTACCCTGTCTCTGATCAGTTTTCAATGTCCCTGTTTGTGCCTGATTCATGAAAGCCTTCACTAATAGTTTGATGTCTCTGGTAGGCCTGTCACTATGATGAAATTTTAGCTGGTAATTACTTGCTATTTAAATAATTGCAATAAACAGTTTAATTGACTTTTCTTGTTAATTGTATGCAGCTATTAAATTACAAGCATGAAGTGGCCAAATTGCCTGATTAGCTAGCTTAGTTATTAGCTGTGTTTACTTTGTAGCTAATACTGGTTTTACTGACACGAAATGAAACACTATGGTGTTGTATGCTTACAAACAAATTTACACAAATGTCTCAGTGACACAGATTTGTAGAATCAGGCAAAGCGAGAAAGTTTTGTTAAAAATGTAAAACATGTTTGAGCACCTAGTCAGAAGTTCAGAAGAACTTTTCTAACAGTTGGATACCGGACCACTCACTCTTATTCTAGTATGTGTGGTAAACATGTAACAAAGCTGATTTTTTTTTTCTTGAGAATGAAAATGTGAGCAAAAAGCTTCCAGCTCTTTAATTAATCTAATTAACAGCTAATTCATTAATCTAATTAGCAACATAGCTAACAAGTAAACAAAGATTACTTGCACTACCTTCTAAACCTGTTCAAGCACCAAGTTAGAAGTTAGGATTTTTCTTGCATTTAATCTAATAACATAAGAAACAAAAATGTAGCTTTTTTGGCATGACATGATTATGAAAACTAACGACTATGAAAAATGATTGCATTCAGCTTAAATAATTGAGATTTGGCAATTATGTAATAATTGTGAAAGTCATAGGCTATGTTCACATTACATTGCTCTATTGCTCAAATCCGATTTTTGCTCGAATCCGTTCTCTTTGACATGATGGTTCACACTAGTTTACGTAAATGAAATCTGTCATTAATGTGAACAAACCAGCGTGACCTGCATGCACACATCCTACTCAGTAACGTCACGTGAATGAATCACGTGCGTCCTGTGCATCATCAGCAAACAAACTAACAAGCAGAACGAGCCTTCGCTGTGAAGATAATTAACTCTGATCAGCTCTCAGCTGTTCATTATTAGAGCGAGATGAAGGCGAACAAGGTGAGATGTGTTGCTTTTCTACCATTTACTGGCTTTAACTTTTGTTCGGTGCTGCTGCCATGGAAACGCTTTTCTTTTCTTTTTTTTAATTAACTAATTAATTTTTTTGTTCATTTAATTTATTTATTTATTCTTCTTTTGCATGCATGTATGATAGTCTCTGCTGTTCTTATATGTCCATATGTCAGTTTAATAAACACATACATACATACATACATAATTAATAAAACGTTTGTATGCACATATTTGATCGTTAAATTGATTGCATGGGAAAATCCAGGTTTAAGTGGTGATTTATAAAAAGTGAATGACAGTTTCCAACCTCATGTCCAAATGGAACAGTCTGAGTGTGCTATTAAGGTACACCATTCGTGAACAAATGCTGAGAGCTTATCTTAATAACAAATTTAGAATGAAATTCAAGTATGTTTTGTAAACAGAGCCCCAGGAGTATAACTCTCTGACTTCACAACGGTTCAATTCAGTTCAGTTTTTTTGTTCGATTCAGCATTATAGTATAACAAATAAAAAGTAGAACAAATACAGAAAACTTTATTTTATTATTATTTATTTTTCATTTTACTGATTTTTATTTAATCCAACTAATGCATGCATAATATAATATAATATAATATACACAAAGAGTAATATATATCTAAGCAAGTGAAAACATCTTAAGTCTACCCAGTATATCTTTTGTGTTTCTTATGGTACCATGTAAAAATATTAGAAGATTATTTAACTTCTTTCTCAACATTTTCACTTCAAATGATCTGTCAAATGAAAAGGACACTTTCATAAAATTAAATTTCTTAAAATAAAATAATGTCTAGAAATAAGTTGTGTAATATTCTCACAACAATCTCATGATGACAGTTATTAAATAAATTGACTAGATTTAAGATTCGTTCACTTACTAAGATATAACTTGCAGTCTACTTTACTGAATACCATTAGAATTGTTGTAGAATATTTGTTTATACTTATACTTTTATTATTACTTATTATTATTAGAGTTGACGCAGTTGAATCACCGCCATCTGATCAATGCAGTTTTTCCTCCAGTGTACATAAATGCACACACAGACGAGGTGAGCTTATTTGCATTAAAGAGCATTTAAATAAATTATACTGTTTTGTACTTGCAGGAGCCTCCTGGAGGTTCAGCATTCTGCAGGCAGCAGTCAGTGTCGGTGGGTGCTGTAGTGTTGAATATGGAAACAAGATTAGTGAAGCGTTCCCTTTCTGACTCACCACTTTGGCAGCGGAGGAGGAGATGTGACCAGATTCCAGAACGTTTAGCAGATCCGCCAGGGCTTCAGGAGAGACAGGGCTGAGAAAGAAAGAAGGGGAAGGAGGTGAGAAACAAAAAAAATACAAACATACACAGTTAGTTGCTATTTAAACATGCAGCTACACTCTTTTTTATGGGAGACACCTAAGAATCACATTTACGTTAGAGGCCTATAGTTACAGACTTTAGCTCATCTGTTACTGTACAGTTTCTGAGCCCCCCTCTCTATCAATTTATCAGTGGAAAGAGACCACCACAGATGTCCTGATATTATTTGGTGTACTGTTAGAGATTGTAGCCCATCTAATGATGTTATGTATATGTATACATATATGTATATATGTATATAATGTGTTAGCCATCCTCTAGAAAACTTATTTTTTGACACTTATTTATTTAAAATACTTTTATTGGCAGATAATTTGACTTGTTTTAAGCATTATTTCTTTAAATAAGCAAAAATATCAGCCTTATTTCCCAAACCAAGTAAAATGATCTGCCAACTAAATCCAGTTAAACAGGACTAATTATGCTCTCTTTGTAATGAAACATGCAGTCAGTCAGTGATATCCAGATGATATCCACAATACACTCGGAAATGCATATCGTGTATCACAATAAACAAATCTATCACAATAACGATACAATATCTTCATATTTGCCACCTCTACACTGATGTTTGTAAAAACTAGGGATGTATATGGGTATTGGAGTACTAGGTTAGCCATTCGAGGTGCCACTATTTCAATACTTAAATCAATATTTGGTTATTTGTTGAGATCCATTACGGGAAGAAAAAAAAACTTATCAGCAATTCAGAGAAACACATTTTATGTTTTAATAGTACTGTAAGATACAAAAACAGGCACACAAGCCTCGCTCTATGTTATGCATATACATTTGAGGGAGGAACACCCGAAAAGATGGGTGGAAATATTGGAAGTGAGTCTTTATTCTAAATATTCTACTCAGTGTACTCAAATTTGAGCAACTAGCAGTGGCTGGCCACAAATTAGCAGCAGCATCTCCAAGTCATGTTATGAGACTTCCTTTAACAACAGGAGCAAATACAGCAGCTAGACGGAGACATGAGCCTCAACCAAGCTGAAATAATAATTAACATCAGAATAACATTGTTTAAACTCTCAAGATCACTATGTAAATGTCAGAGAAGCTTAATTTATTCACTTTCGAGTCAAAACTGCCATTATGTACAATTTCTTTTTTCAGGAGATATTTCTGAGGAGATTAGATATAAGACAATCCACTTCCATAAAGAGAAAGGAAAACAAGTATGTTTTCATAACTGGAGTCCAAAAAGGGAACAGAGAAAATGGTACTCCTAACAACCATGCAAGAGCTGGTAGACCAAAACTGTCCCCATCAACTAAACAGTGCTTAAAGCTTTCATCTTTGAAAGAGAGGAGAAAATCAAGCTCCAGTCTTGATTTAGATCTGAAAACATCCACAGGTGTTTCTGTCCATCCTTCCACTGTAAGAAGAGAACTCAACACTGAAAGGATGTGTAGCTGTCAAGAAGCACTTAATGAAAACAGCCAAATCAAACGAAGAAGCTGCTGCTGTTCTTAGAGCAAGGAGCTGACCGCCCCAGAGTCCAGACCTCAACATCACTAAATGTGTTTAGGATTACTTGGATCATGAGAAGCAGAAAATGTAAAACCAACTTCTAACACTGAGCTTGCTGATGGCTCTGCTGTTATGTTATTTTATTGCACTTCACAAGCAGTTAGTGCCCAGAGCTGTGCAAAGTTTGCTTGATTACCTGCAGAAATGTTAGTAGCACTTTATTTTACGGTATGGTAAGTAACTAGTATTTAGCAGGTAAATATGTAGTAGTTACGAGTAATTTTCTTGTACATACTTTGTACGTACCTAGTAACTTAGATGAAAACTACTTGATATGTAGAGCAGTACTTACTTTTAATTTGTTTTAATGGTAAACATGAAGCATTTACAAGTAATACTTGGTACATACTTTGCAAGTTCAGAATGTAAGTACAGAGGAACAAATGTGAGAAATACCAGGTATAATTTAGCTTTTAATGATTCAGCATTTTAGTAAATACATGCATATGTGATACAGAAGTACACAGTAGGTTAGAGTAAGTATCATTATTCCAGTACAGTAATTCATTCTATATTAACTGATACGTTTACGTTTACAGCATTTATCAGACACTCTTATCCAGAGCAACTTACAGTTTGATCATTTTACACAGGTAGGCGAAGGTAGTGTTAGGAGTCTTGTTCAAAGACTCTTATTGGTACAGCATCGGGCACTTGCCCAGGCAGGGGATCGAACCCCATTCTACAGCATAACAGACAGAGGTGTTACCCACTACACTATACTAACCACTTTTACAATTTATTTCGCATTCCTACAATCATACAGATGACTTACTGGTAAATGTTTTAATTAAAATGGTATAAATTACAGTACTAGCAAAAAAGGTACTTGTACTGAGGTACAATTCAGTTACCCTAAGCTACCGTACAATTTTATCAACTTTGTTACTTGAAACTGTAATCTACTCTTCTCACACAGGCGTGTATTTATTGAAGCAGTTTGTAGTTTTCACTAAAAGCAGAAACATACCTGGTATTAATTAAGTTTTAATTGTAAGTACTACATATTTATTATTAAATTATGTTTAAGTACTGCCATACACACCTGGAACATACTATGCACATGCAATGTAGGTATCAGAAAATTACTTTTAAGTACTACATATTTTGCATGCCAAAATGAACAAATGCATCCTCAAAGCCCAAATAACCAAACTGAATCTTATTTTGGACATATTCTTAGAAGAACCAGCTAACAGGAAAAGACCATTATGCTTGGAAGAGTTAAAGGTAAAACGAAGAAGGGGACAACCAGCAATAATTGGATACAATGGATACAATCCATTTAGAAGCCTGACAACCCAAATAAAAGACAGGATATTCTGGAGAAACACTATTTCTATAGTCACCAGGAACTGACTTGTCACAAGTCGGAACTGACTTGATGGCACTTAACAGTAATATTTACCATACAGGAAAATAAAGTGCTACCCAAATGTTCAATTCTTGTGCCTTGTAAACACATATTGTGGTCGCATCTAAGCACATTCTGGGTGCGTATGCACTTATAAGTACATCTTGCCCTTGGTGGATATGGAGAGGGAAAGGAAGAAGTCTGAGTAGGTTTGTTTGGGCCCAGGAGAACTCATTACTGGACGCTACTTTAGCTGCAGCATGGCTGGCCAACTCTCCTCCAGGCTCCCATTTTTTTAACCCTACTTACTCAGTGTCAATGAGGACTGTAAAAACATGGACGTGATCATCAAGCTGGTCTTGGATCAGTGATCTTGAGTACAGACATACACTTGCATACAGCCCTAGGCAACAAGCAAAAACAACCTCAATTTGTTGTTATTTACCACCAGTGGCTGTATAACACAGACTCTTTCTGTTGTTATAAGCGATTCTGTTCCAGTAAAAAAAATTGACTCCAAACGTTTCATCACTGTGCAGTTAAAGAGCCAATTAGCAAACTGCCGATTTCGCACTGGGGGTCTTGGCCGTGATAGCATCTATGTGATCTTTCTCAGAGCTGTAGGAGTCAGTGCTGCTCATTATTCCTTCTGAAAAAAAGAAGGGACGGGGAGGAAGAGCGAGGAGAGAAGGGAAAACAGAGAAAATGGTGAAGGAAAGGGTGAGCAGAAAGAAGAGAGAAAGGTTCATGAAGGAGGCAAGAGAGAGAAATGGGAGAGAAACTGAGCAGCAAAAGCCTTGTGTGTTTTCTCTTTCACTTTCCTCCCTGTAAAAAAAAGCTGGACAAATAAATGAAATCCTAATGTTTCACTCTGAAACTGCACATTGGTTATTGATTACCTTTTTCTAGAAGTCAACAACTAAACTTTGTAGTTGAAACATGCTCCCCCTACCCCTACACAGGAGGTCTCAGAACATTTCGGTGATGCTCTTTCTTCAGACGATGCTGCTGTGTAGCTATCAATGACTCACCTCTGAGCAATCTTCAGACTCTGCTGGTTCAGATTACCCAGAAGCTCCTGCATCACCCAGCCAATCACCTTCCTTGGCTCCGCTTTTGTGTTCCAGACCACACGCTCAAAATATTCCATCAGGCCATCCTCATTCTGAAACACAGGTAAAATACAGCCATACAGCTGCTTTAAAGTTCTGGAAATACTAGCCAAACAGAAATATAGTTTTGTGTGTGCAGTGAGCATGTAAATAAAACTAATCTAGTTTTGGAGGCTGCTCTATTTAAAGTTAGCAGTCTTCTTTATATCTAAAGGGAATGACAACTGTAGGAGCTAAAAAAATACAGCACCATTTATTATTGAATAATTCATAGTAGTTACTGAATAATTTATTGTAGCTCATAATTTATAGTTAAATCATATGTCTAATGAGTAATAACTGAATAATAAACTTAGGGTTCTTGTTTGACAGTGAGGAGTTACTGCCCCCTTATGGACAAAAAATTACATTTAAACAGAATAAATAACCCAAATGATGTTTTTCCGTCAGCCCACGTTATACCACTTAATTTAGTATATGACTGCTGTGGTGTGAAAGTCATTGCTGTATAATTGGTTCCACTGAAGGCTACTGTACTGCCATAATAAACCTACTGAATGTTCTAGTTGTTATAGCAACTAATCGCCTGTTGTACTTTTTACGCCTACTGTACCTTTTACTGGTATTCAACATTTTTTTTTTTTGAGGAAAGAATTAAAATAAAATGAGTTTTTATGTACTGTTTGCACTGCAAGTAACTGCTAGAGTCCGTTTCTCTCTCTCTCTCTCTCTCTCTCTCACCACTAGTGTAAAGCTGTGTTCAGGCAGTATCTTGTATTGCTCCACCAGTCTCGCCCGTCTCACTCCCGGCAGCTCTGGCAGCTCAGCCTTTAGCCTGTCAATCATCACCAACTGGGTGGGGTCGACACCAGCAGGCACTGAGGCCTCATCCTCGTAAACAAACAGAGGGGGAAGATTCGGCTCTGGCATGAACCTGAGCGAGGGATGGAGAGACATTAAAAGGTTTGTCATTTTCATCTGTCTAATAGACGTCTGTGTATTATAAAATTGTCTGCTTATTCCAAATCTGAGCCTCAGCTCATCTAAAACTGGACATTCTTAAATGAAATGTAAGAAAAGATTTTAAAAAATAAATAAATCACTTCAGTTTTCAAGTAGATTTACATTGCTATCTCAGCTAATCAACATATTTATTGATAGTTATTGTCACTTTGTTGTTTATTTTGATATTTGTGTTATTTACCTTATAATTTATATAATTATTAATTCATTTATTATTCGTATTAAAATGTATTCAGGGAAAGAAATATATAATTTGAGAGATACACAGAGTGATTTGAGATGGAGAAGACCTGAAGAAGAAGACAGAGGGGAGACCAGATAATTTGAGGCGGACGGGGCCATCAGTGGGTCTAATAACCCCCTTGCCACTGTCCATCACTCCCTCCGCCCCACTATCTCACTGTCCATCACTCCCTCCGCCCCCACCACCTCACTGTCCATCACTCTCCCCACCACTCCAAACACATAATTTATATACACAACACCACCTGGATACCACAGCTTGCACTCTCTCTCACTCTCTGTCCCTTTCTTTCTTTCTTTCTTTCATCTCTATCTTCCCTCACTTTTTCTTTCTTTCTTTCTTCTTTTCTTTCTGTCGCTCCTGTAACTCCCCGCATCGTGCTCCTTCATTCACCTGTAGTCCTGCAGTCCCTCTTTATCTCTCATTGGAATTGTGGTTCTGTTAAAGAGGAGAGAGGAAGAAGAGAATAAACTCAATTTGGTTATAACAAATCATCTACACTATGTTTAATGTTTATATTAAACATTTAATATGTTAATGTTTATTCTGATCATCAAAAAATGTTAAAATGATCTGACAACAACTATGTATACATTTCTCCTTTTCGTTGAAATTAAGGTTTTTCGAATGTGACCCTGCTGGGCTGCCTTACCCAGATTTGCTGTCAAAAGCTCTTGTCTCATTTACAATGATTCCACCATTTTCTAGAACCTCTTTCTGCCTCTGGATCTCATAATCTGTAAAACAGAAGAACATCTCACATTCTGTAAACTTTTCCATAAAACAAAATGAAAACAAACAAAAAAAAACTATCACAGTCGTGTTCTACAGTTTCTCATTAGGTTGAATGGGATTTTCTTACCTATGGCTCTGGCTACATATCGTGCGCTGTTAATGTTCTTCACTTCAGTTCTCACACCCAGTGGCTCTCCAGGACGATGAACAGAAACATTAGCATCAACTCTCAGTTGACCCTCTTCAGACATAGAGAGAGAGAGAGAGAGAGAGAGAGACAGTGAGAGAAAATGAAAAGAAGAAAAAAGGAAAGGGGGGGGGGACTGTAAATAAACTTGCTGAAATCACTCGTTTGTTTCAGCTGTCCAAAGTTCTCTAAAACTCTGTGTGCAAGACTGTGCATAAATTTGAATAAGAATGATTTTATTTGCATGAGGCAGGTGAATAATGCGGCGTCCCGATGTGGCCTGCACTCTGGTGAAAAGCTTTCACTGCTTCGTTCAAGCCAAATAAACAATTTGCTGTATTTTGCTTCGGGGGCCTTTTGATTAAACTGGAACGCTCGTATTTTTCATTATGGGGAGACAACGGTTCAGCTGGGCCATGACAAGCTGTGACTAGATGAAGAGGAAACCATTATTTTTTCTCCTTAAGACCCCAACATGATCCGTTTCAGAAATGGATCACAATTTACTCCAATATTAAGGCTGCATTTCACACCCTGCTGTAATAAGACCTCTGGATCTAACTGGGCCATTCAGCGTCAGTGCTTTAAAAGAAGAGTGAAACGTTCTTCTTAATCTCTATCTGGAGCATCTGTAGCTTAACTGATCATTACAGTCAATAATTTCAACCGGTTCCCCTGAACTTACAAAATAACAGAAAACCTGTCGAGTTAAAGCACACATAAAATACAAGCATATGGGTAATTTTTAGCAAACAGCTAAATTTTCTTTAAAATTGTGAACAGAAGGAAAAAGCAGTCTATTGCTGTACTTTTGGAGGAAAGGTGGACTTTCAGAAGTGGCTGGCTGGCTGCATTAATAATTTGTATAGTTGATTTCTTTATTTATTAAAAACTCTATTTTTGTAATCTGAGTGTATATTCCTATTTTTTTTCTGACAGATTTTTGTCTGCTATCTTATGCTGCAGTTTAGAGTTATCAATTCCAGCTCAGTTGGAATGTTCAGTCTGTTTGGGAATGACATGCTTGTATGCAGCTTTTTGATCGCATCTACAATTTTTAAACAACGATTTTATGTTGGGCACAGCTGTGCTCCCCACTTATATCTAGTAATGCAGCAACACTAGCAACATCCTGTCAATCTTGTGGAATACCATCATCCTAGCAACGTCCCAGGAACCACCAGAAATACCGTAGCAACCATCTGGGATACAATAGCAACCACTTTAAAACACACTAGCAACACACTAGAACACCACAGCAAACATCTAGCAGCACCCTAGCAACCACCAGGAATACAGTGGCAAGTACCTAGCAACTACCTAGCAACAACGTTGAATACCACAGCAACAACATGGAATACCATACCACCTAGCAACCATCTGGAAAAACAAAGCAATTACCAAGCAACCACCCTGGATACAGTACCAACCACCCTACAAACCATCTGGGATACCATCGCAACCTCCTGGACTACCACAGAAACTGTCTAGCAACGCCACAGAAATCACCTAGCAGCACCTAAGCAACTGCCTAAAATACCATAGTAACCATTTAGGAATACCGTAACAACTGCCTGGAAACTGCTCAGGCTGTGCAATCACTGCATTTTCTTCAGGAAATGTACTTTTCTAGTTCAAAGTAATGTTATTTATTTCTTCTTTATTTTATAGTGGTCCATTCTCTGCACAGCAGTGACACTGACATGGTTGTGTGTGTGTGTGTGTGTGTGTGGGGTACTAGTACGAGTGTACTAGACACAGTGGTGTCAAAGTGGCCACTTTATCAGAACCCGCCCCCCCCTCTTGTAGTTTCACCTCACTGGTGATGCAGTTTGTGTTGGCCATCCTCTAGCCCTTCAAAAATGGTAACTTTACAAAAGACAAAAACATTCTTAACTTTTATTGTAAGTTAACGTAAAGAGATTTTATTCAATTATTTTAGGACATTTTTATTTGTGCATTCATCATTCAATTTTCAGACACTAAAGGAAATCTGTTGTGTTCCAGTTATGTAGAAAAATGGAAATAAACAAATGGGATTCATGTGAAGATATATTTATACTATAACTTATTTAATTCAGTATTTTTATAGTATTTTAGTAAAAAATTATTGTGTAATGGTATAAAATACATTTTCAAAAAATGTGAAGCCTACCTTCAGTCATATGCAAAACTTTGAACAACCCTGGTCAAATGACATGTTTTGTTGGTGTTCCATGTGAAAATAAGTTAACACATCCTCTACAGCAGCAGTTCTCATATGCTTTAGTCTAACGCCAACTTTATGGATAGTCAGTGCCACTGCTGACCCCCTTGCTCCCTTCACTTGGACCATGTTTTACCAGAACCCTGTGTATTTTGCTACAGTTTTTCGCAGCTATCGCTGACCTGCACATACCATGGCCTTGTTTTATAACACTGCAGATAGCACATTAGGTGGGCACTGGATAGCCATGAATGTATATTACATTTTAATAATGTTATGACATAACCTTTGCACAGACTACATTTTATGTTTCACTCTCTTAAATTTAAATTCAGCAGACAAATAGTAGTTGTGTATTAAAATATGCTGAAGTATGTTCTCTGTAGAAGGATGTGTTAACTTATTCTCACTTAGAAGATCAACAAATACATGGAATTAGACCAGGAGCGTTCAAACTTTAACACATGACTGTACCTTATTTATTTGTATACTGTATACCTCAGGACACCACATGAATAGCACTTTGGCCCTCAAGACAAAAAAGCTTGGCACCCCTGCTGTAGTCCTCTATGAACAGTCAGTTCTGCTCCTAGCTGTGTATTTTTGGGCTGTGCTTCACTCTCAACCTTGCTGTGAACTGACAAGTGTAAAAACTCCAGCAACACTGCTATGTCTAATAAACTTGTAACAACACCATATACACACTACTATGTCAGTGTCACTGCTGGGCTGAGAATGGACCACCACCCAAATAATATAAGGACAATAGTGGTGGTCACCCCCTTTCCAATGATGGGTGAGGTAGAGAGAGTGTGTAAAAGTGTAAGTGACTGACCAGACATGTTCCCCTGACAGGTGCCTAGCGTCTGCAGGATCAGCTGGAGCTCTCTAACAGCAGCAGCAGCTTCATCACCACAACTCATATCAGCCTCCATCACCAACTCCATCAGACCCACTCCTACAGAGAGAGAGACACAGAGAGATAGAGTACAGAGAGAGAGGAGGACAGAGAGAGAGAGAACAGAAATTAAGTATAGAGAGAAAGAGAGTACAAAGAGAGAGACAAAGAGAGAGAGAGGAGAGAGAGAGAGTACACAGGGAGAGTACAGAGAGAGAGTACACAGAAAGTGAGAGAATGAAGAGAGAGAGAGAGAGTACATAGAAAGAGAGAGTGAGAGTACAGAGGGAGATAACAGAGAGGGAGAAAAGTGGAGAGAGAGAAGAAGAAAGAAAAAGAAGATTAGAGAAAGAGAAAAAAGTATGAAATGGAAAAGTAACACAGAAAGAGAGGATGAGAGAGAGACAGAAAATAAGACAGTGTTGTTTAATTAAATTCAGCTCTTTGCTCTGTAAGTGGTGTTTAAAGCTGCAGAGATTAAAGTAGGTGATTCTGTTCTCATTATATTCTGACCTCTCCTGACCGCCACGGTTAAACTAACAGGCCATACCTGCTCTGTTGAGGTCTATGAGCGTCTGACTGCGCTGGTCGTCATGGAGACTCTTCCCGCTGTCTTGCTCCAGCTGGATCTGTTTGATCCTCACACACCTGCTCAACACCTGGTTCCTCTTCTTCCCTCCTAAATAGCTGTACGTGAGTGACCCGTTTACTGCGATGGGCAGTCTCTGCTGGGTGATCTGATAACCTGCCTGAGGGTGCACACATAAACGCACAAACGTTTATGTAAATATATATGTATGCTGTTAAAGGGATGTAGTCATATGGACCTATAACAACAGCTGATAACAGGAACCCCAGTGAGTCTAAACACTTTATACTAGAAGCCAACGGGCCAAGATATTTATTTATTTATTTATTTATTCCATTTGCATAGTGTCTTTCTTATAAACAAGTTCGCTTTACAAAGAAAAGTTTACTTATAAAAGAAGCTACAGGCAGTTAATATAGTGCCTTTCCCATAGCTAAAGTTACTTCACTTATAATACAATTAATTAATTCATTCATTTATTCATTCCATTTATATAGCGTTTTTCTCCTCTCCTGTTATTGTGACAATTTCCATGACGATATTCTTTTTACAAAGAAAAAGTTGCTTCACTTACAAGAAAAGTCAATGGGCAATTGCTATAATCAGTAAACATTTATGTGGAACACATTTTTGTAGAACACTTTCATGAATTCAAAGGTGGTTTATTAGGGGTTTTATTACAATAATCTGTAAATCTGTATTTTTGGATCTTGCAAAGATGACGCACTAGATGGGACTAGGAAAGAAATTGTGGTAATTCATTAGCAGGATAATGGTGTGCATAGGCTCCGCCCTGTTCACCATGGATTCCAGGTAACTTTAGGAAAAGTGAACGTAACTGTAACTGTTTTTTTATTGTGTTGCTCCAGTGTTGTAAAGTTAAATAAAACTAAAGAATATAAGGACAGTTTTGGTAAGTCAGTCTCTCAGTCTATCTCATCTTAACATGTGAACTGTTAGAGTGGAAAGACTGGAGTTTCAAATTCAAATAGGTTTTTGGCTCTTTTCTCAGTTCAGGAACATGTGTTTAATTTATTGTCTGTAGTAATCGATCGTATGATAAAGATACAGCAGATAAAGATCAGGATAAAAACACTTTGCCCTTTGGCTTCTATTATAAGCGTTTTGACTAAAACTGGTTTTCTGTTCTATGTTGAATTCAGGGAAACATGTTAAGATTATTATGTGTGCTAACTGACCGGACTCTAAAGATACAGCAGAAAGAGATTAGGATAAAAAAAGCTGCAGTATTCCTTTAAATTAAAAGATGTACATAAATTATTTCTGAAGAGCAAAATTCTTCGACAAATCAATCAAAGGAGCAAGATATTTCAGAAATGTACACTCACCATACACATACATACATCGAGACAACTCAAGGGTCCAGCAGCACTGGGGTCAATGCCATTTCAATTACTGTGACTGAGCTGTTTAATTAAAAGGCTCTGGACGGAGACCCATTCCAGCTCCATAAACCTGGAACTAGAGCTCCAGTTTCTATTCTATCTGAGAAATGCTATTGGATTTGGACTGGAGACAGACGCAATCCTGCCATATGGGGACCGGTGCTCTGGAAGACAGAAATATGGCAGCCAGGCGGCTTTCACTGCTCAACATTTCACAGTGATTTAGCAGTTAGCTGTGATTGCTATTTGGATAGCTGTCTGATTTTGGCTCCTGTTTTCAGGCAGACACCCAGGGTTGGCCGATATGATTATGTGTTATCGTTATTGTGACAATTTCCATTACGATATTCTTTTCTGAGTACATGATGGGTATGGTCAGTACTTCTACATCACTGAACGACTGCATGGGTCATAAAAAGACTAAATTAGACCAAATATAAAGAGCCTGTTAACAACAACAACAACAATGGTTACTGCATATACTGCATAGGGCATTTTTGCACTGCACAAAGTGGAAAATTGGAACTGTGCTTTTTTCTATTGGCCATCAGTTCAGTACCAATTTTTCTGTTTTTTTAAGGAGACTTGCTTTCAGTTTTTCAAAACAATCTGCAGGGATATCTTCCCCACACCTTTTAAGTTCAGTCTTGGATTAGCATTTTCTGATTCTCATAAGCCAAGTATTCCCAATTAGAAATTTCATAATTATATAAAACCTAATTATATAATTATATTATATTACAATTTTATAAAATTACTCCACATCTCAGATGTCAAAAGCTTTAAATACTGTTTATCTGATGGGGACAGTGTTGGGGATGTACCAGGTTTTACAGTTGGTTGTCAGGAGTTCCATTTTCGCTGTAGCTTTTAATCAGTTTTTGAAATTCAGTTTTGGAAACTCCTGCTTTTCCCCCTTACTTTTTTCCTTTAACATTCTCCTTCCTTACGCAAGTGGATTAGTTTAAATCTAACCTAACCAGAAATATCTCCAGAGAAAATAGTACCTTGTACTTAATGGCTATTTTGATTGGGAATTAAATAACTGTAATCTCAGACTTTTACACAACAATTACATAATGTATGTACGGAGTATATTTAGAGTTCAAAGTGACAATAGATTTGTAAGGGTCAATGTAAACATTTCTCAGTGTTTTTAAAGTCTTTCAAGCTGTGTAGATATACAGGCCCCAATACGTTAGCATATCAGAAATATTAGGAAATTAAATAAAATGAATGAAACATTGTCTACGTAAAGACACATCAAAGACACATCAACAACATTATACACAATATGAACAAATAGAGGACAATTACTGTGTGCGCATTTAGGACCACATGTACAACAAGGTTATTTTGGGGTTGTAAGTCTTTCCTCTGCATCAATGTTGGTTCTGACCCACAATGCCACAGTCATACCCTTAACTGAACTCTAGTCATGTGACTCGTTATACTCCACATTACAATGAAGGGTGGTACATTTTTCTGTCAAGGTTACCCCTCTTGTTAACATCTTATATGTTTTAATGGATGCATGAACTGAAATAATCATGAATTTATGACCAAAATCACATAAAATAAACATTTACATGAAATGTCAGACAGTTTCAACACTGCTAAACAGTCGTTTGGGTTGTAGCTCTAAAGAAGGAAAAATACTTCATCTCTCTCAGTTACTGCACCACTCGTAGCTGTTACTATGGCAACTCCTCCGTTGTTCCATAAAAACAAAAAGAAAAAAAGAAAAAGAAAAATGCTGATCATTAATCAGAGTTATTAACATGCCAAGAGAAACAAAACATATATACGGGGTGGGGGTTGTGGGTGGGGGGGGGTTAAACAAGCTACCATCTGTGTGTTCCACCAGATCAATTAATTTATTACTGGAACAAAAAAACAAGCACAATTGAGCACTAGAGAAATTGGATTTGTAAGGGGCAAAGAAAAAGAGTAATAATAACCAGCGTTTTCTCCCTTAGTGTCCCTCAGGATGCTTTTCTTCTGTTTTAAAGGGGAAAATCATTTGCAGTTTTTAGTGTACATGGGACCAGGCCAAAACATCCAATAAGCATGGATATCTGTATTGCAGCCAAATAAAATACTAGCACACTGCCAGAAACCTGCAAAGACAACAGCTTACAATTTACAGTCATTTAGAACCCCCTCGTGGGTTCTGGATACTCTATTACTTGGCAGATTTGAATTCATTTGGGATTCAATACAGACGCATCAGCTGCATAAACGTAAACGTCAATGCGACACAAAAAAAATCCTGGGTTAAACTGATAGAGAAAGTGCCAAAAATCTCATTTTTATCTGGGCTAAAGCTGCTGTCACACTAGATATTTGCTGTCTGCATGGCCTTGCGAAATGGGCTTGAATGAAAAAATCTTCTATGTAGTGCAGTGAGCAAGTTAGAAAAATAAAATGATATACTCAGATAACTGGCATGGTTGGTGACAGTGGGGTGACTTGTGCGCAGCTGTGGTTATCCATTAAGCTAACACTGCATTTAGCAATCTGATTAACTCCTGTAGCACAAACTGTAAAACCACAAATGTAAAGATAACAATACAAGTTGTTCATTGTAAGTGGGGAAGAAATGTTTAAAGGTTTGTGTTTAGAGGCTAGTTAAATTATTAATTTCTTCTGTTTAGACAATGTGTAGAGAGGAGAATTGCTTTTCAGTAATGTCTTCTGGGTTTGTCAGATGCTAGAGAGCGCTCCAGAATCCAAAATAAAGGGGTTCCTAAGGAGCTTTTATGCAAAATCATAGTTTATAAATGCAAAAAAAACAGCATAAAACATTTTAACACTGATATTGTTATAGGACTCCATAATGGTGCCTCATGTATGTTCATGACATCAATGCCACTGAACAGTTTATTCAGCAAAGGAGCTGATCGGCTTACCAACCAATCAGCACTCAGTAGCAGTAATGCTACCCAATCAGCTCTTAGTAGCAGTAATGCTAACTGCTCAAGACCTTGTGTTGTAGAAAAGCAGAAAGGTACAGGTAAGTTTACTTTGCTTTCCTAATTTCCTAAATATGTTCTTTCTATTGTCCAAAATTAAAGGCAGGTCCTGCACAAATGTTTAAAAACAAGTTTAATTTTTGTTTTTAGCCATTTAGCTCCATTCACCCCTATTCATTGAAGACTCGCTCGCAGGTGCCCTCTGGCATTTTGCATTCATATTTTTGACATAACAGCAGAAATAGGAAGTGCTCAGGCTCACCTTAGACTGGTGTGAAGCCCAATTTCTTATCCCTGTTCTGATCCTGATTTCACTTCCCAAGGACCCTAGCCTAGCAAGTTAGCACGTTTTCATTTTTATGCAAGCCTTTAAAGTTAACTGTAAAATTTTACTAATTTATTTGAGTTGGGTGCTAGCTTTGTTGTATTAATTTACAAATATATTTAAGTACATACATATCTGCCTATGTCTTTTTAAGTTCCTCCCACAGTTGTTGACTGACGGCTCCGATATGCATGATTCATCCAATAACGCTGTAAAAATCGTGTTCCACACCGGCTCTGATTGTTACTTGTTGAAGTTCACCAAAGAGCTTTTTCATTGTTTATAAAGTTAAAAAATGATAGATTATAAATTCAAGGCATTCCTTGTACAACAGCTGTCAGATTGTAATAAAAGGTTTCTTCAGTTCTCAGTGTCTAAAATTGGAAGTATGTTATAAATTTAGTCTTCAAAATGCTGCTACTGTTTTTAGCTATGCTAACATACTTTAGTCCATGTTTATAGACAACAGTGCCAGAAACAAAAGTCTATTAGAGATTATCTAACTCCACATGGTTTGAGAGTGTGATCTAGACATACAGTTAGCATAATGCTATCTAATTAAGGCTAATGCTCTCTTTACTTGTTAACGGCATTAGCGATCCAGTGCAAAAAAAAAAAAAACTTCAGACACTGAACATGTCTTGGCTGATCGACTGCATTTGGAATAAGGGAGAGGACTGTGTAAATTTGATTTTTCGCCAAACTATCGCTTTAATTCCGTCAGCAATGCCAGCTGCAGCTTTGCTCAAGGTTTTTGTGTCAGAATTAAAGCAGCAGTCACGCTGAACTTTTCTACCAGCTCTAATAACACGGCTCGGCGCCCCGGCAGCTAATCCACACGTCTAATTACTGTGTTCTTCAGCAGGGCTTCAAGGCACACAGACACGCTTCAGGAACGCCACTCTAATTCCAAACGACTGCTGGGATGAAAACCAATCAGTCAAGGGCCTATTGGCACTGGAGGATTGGGCAAAAACTCAGCTTTTTCACACGTTGGAACAGTGTTTTACACTTATTCTTGGTAGTTCCTGCCAATTGCCAGCACAGCAGTAGGTCTTTTTGCTTTACGGTACGTCATCACTGCCTCTCTAAGAAGAAAAAGACCAGCATGTGAGCTTTTATATTTCTTTATCTACTGGCCACACATCCATGCTCAATGTACTCATTAGCTACCAGCAGAATCCTGCATTGGATACTAAACGAGAAAAGAACAAGTCTGATCCAATTTTGTACGAAATGTAGCTTATGTCCCAGAATTGTTTGTAGGGCAACATAACATAAGGCAGACTAAAGCAAATCACACACCGGTGAACCATGACTACAGCTAGGCCTTCAGTTTGGGCCAGAAATGTCAAACCTTGGTTAAAAAACAAGAAACAAAACCACATATAATGCTGGTTTCTGCTAGCCTCCCTATAGGATTTCTATTAGTATTTTATCGCTAAGCTAATGCTGGTACAAATGACCATTTTTTTGCTGCTCTAGATCAAACACCGCTTGTAAAAGACTTTCCATAAGCTTTATTTGAAACTAACAGACATTAACATATATTTGAGCTTGTATGTATCAGTTTTACAGTCTTTCAGTAAAGAGTCCTGGCACAGAGCTGCCGCTGTTTCCATTTCTAACAACTGACTGAAATCTGCTTAGACTACAAATCATATCTAGAACTTCCAGAAGTGACATTTTTCCTCACAAAATTGGTCTCCATTGTCAGTCAAAACATAACGGGTTCACTTCTTAGTTATGTTGGTAGTTAATCTTCAATCCAACTCCTGAAGTCCAATGGGAGAGCTCACTTAGATGTATCTACCTAGATACCACAGAGAAGACAATCCTGATGATTTTCAGCTTTTCAAGATCTTAAGATTTCTGGGTTTGAACCAAAATGTAATAATGAAGTATTTCTACAATACTTGCAGAGTTTAATTACAACAAGCATGATGATACTATTGAATAAAAATAAACTAAAAATTGTAGACACATTTTTAGTTCTCAGATATCATTAGACCTTCCCACAAGGCCTAGAAATTCCAGAGGGTTTCCCACTGACAACCACCACAAAATGACAATCCTACCCACATACAACATAATGCTAACACAGGAGCAATGCACCTAGCTAAGAATAATATTGGAGTCACAGTTCATTTATTTTGAACACTCTAATGTAACACCCATTTGAAATGAAATAGAAAAAAGCAGATGTTGTTGTTGGTAATGTATGTTTTTCTGAAGGTCATTTTGAGTATGGTACTCAGTTGGCCATCTTAAGTGAACTAATGTAGGTCTTAGTAGTTTAGCTCAGTAGTTTTTAAAAGGACAGTCAGGCTAAAATAAACATGTAAACATGTAAACATGTAAACATGCCTACAGTGGGGCTGCAGTCATCCTGAGAGTGAGCTAATATTCTGAAGACTAAGAAAAGCTCCCTCTGATGATGTATTTTAAAGGTGGGAGGAACTTCAGAAAAACTTCAAGCGCCCTGGGGTGAATACTTGGAATATCACTTTATTCCACTAGTTAGCAGGGGCTACACTAGCAGTCAGGCTTTTTTTATTATTGCTGCGGGAGGAATTCCCAGTGGTTGTATGACATATTTGCATAATGCAAGCTGGGTATTGTAGTGAACACACTGATGGATGAAACTCTGTCAAACTGATGGGGTAAGAATTATAATGCTGCACTACAGAACATTACATAACACAACAAGTAACAAATGAAATGCTAGTTTTTGGCAGGAATGCACCTTTAAAGAAAAAAATATTAGATTGGTATCAGCACGTACTAAAGTTTTCAGTATCTGAATTGGGAAAAAGTGGTTTTACGTCATCTCCACTGCTCACCCCGGATTCGCCGCAACAAAGCAGACTTAAGACTTGTTTTCCTTCACTCAGCTTTATTGGAATTCAATATCTAAACCTACGTTAAGTTTATTTCTAGCATTTTTCCAACAATAAACACTTAACTCAGCAGCGTCTATCAGAGAGCTTAAAATCACCTCCTATAAACTTTGCAGCCTAAGTATGTCCTTGTCCACAGTGCTGTTATTGCAGATTTAAAGCCCTAAAGCTTTTCAGTTTCAGCACTGATTTTTGAATACATCAGTGATGTTAGACAGCAGTGCTTTTGTATGACTTAATAAAGCACTGTACTGCTCTGGATAGATATAAACATTTTTTCTGACAGATGACATCTAAACTGAGCAGTTTATAAACATCTATAATGATTAGTCAACAAAGATGTCAATAACATCAGTTATGGAAAAGTTAGGGTATGTTCTAGGTATAAAAAAGTGCTCTGTAATATTCCAACAGTTTACACATAATTATCCACACAATCATTCTGACAGATTGCAATACACTGCAGGAAAAGTAGGGGGCGATATGACTTTTACTGTTTCATTTAAAAAGTGCTCTGTAACGCTCTATAATGTTTGTATGATCCACACAGTCATTCTGACAGATTTTTTAAATACTACATGAAGTGTAGGAGATGACATGGCTTCTATTGTTTCATTTAAATAGTGCTCTATAACACTCTATAATGTTTATGTGATCCACATGGTCATTCTGACAGATTGTAATAGAGTACAGGACGTGTAGTGGTGATCTGTTGTTTTACTCCACCATAACAGAAGAAACCAACTGTTGCAGAACTTTATCAAACTATCACTTTAGGTTAAAGTGTGGTCATGAATTACCCAACGACTGTAGGACTGAGAAAACTCACAGGCATGTCGGCGTAAAAGTAGTGCTTCCTGTCGAAAAGGGACTTCCTGTTGATAGTGCAGTTCAAGGCCAGGCCAGTAATCACTGCAGCCTCAACACACCTTCTGTTCAGCACCTGAGAAAAAACAAAATGACCCAATGACTCGGTCAGAGGAATGATTCTTAAAGAATCCATTGCCTACATTTTTGTTGTACTCCATTTTTTCCCCTATGAAGTCTACTTTTATTTATGTTGTTTTTATTTGACATTTATGTTGTTTTTTTGTACCAAAAACATAATTCCTAATTATTTTTTCAACTTTTCTTTATCCCTAAGAATTAAACAGGCTGTTTTTTAATGTGCCTATGTACAAGATTATGTATATATGTAAATGAGCTCTGCTGTGATTGGCTATGCTTTACTGTGCCTCATTCAAAAAGCTGTACGGACTGAAACACATTACTTCATCGCGAATGTGTGGAGCTAAAATGCTGTAGGCTGGTGTCTGTACATAATCTTACAAACTACAAATGTAAAGAAATTTTTTACATTTTTAAGAAAAAACAATGGAAATCCTGATTTAATTGTGAATAAAAGAATGAAAATTGCATTATTAAAAATATTCAAATGGTTTCTGTTAGATGTTCCTCTGAGCAATAGCTATACCAAATTGTAGCACTTTATACCAATCAGAACAAGTTTCATATTTTTTTTCCCACAAGATGTTAGACATGGATAGGTAAATGTATCTTGCACATCATGCACATTACATATAGACTATTTGTCCAAAAGTGGTCACCCAATGCCAAGTGTGGGCTAGAGGAGTAAAAAGTCCCTGGCCTCAGCACTGGCCTGTGGAACAGTGTTACCCTGTTCTCTGGAGTGATGAAGTGTCCTGTCCAATATCTTTGGGGTGAGCTGCAGTGGCACATATGATCCAGAACTATTCATCCAACATCAGTACCTAAAGAATGCTCTTGAGGCTGAATGCAATCAAATCCTCGAAGCAATTTTCCCCACATCTAGTGTAAAGCCTTATTCCCTATTTCCTATTAATACACTTACATTTCAGAGGAAACACTGCTGCCTAAATACTTTTTGGGTAGATTTATAAAGGAAGGCCCCAGTTTCTGACACTTTGGGCCAGTGGCGGTGGTCAATTTAGCAGCTTGTGTACTAAGAACTTTCATGCACATGAACACAGGCGTAACTTCATAGTGAGCAGATGTTTACAGACTTTTAGACAGATAGTGTAGCACTTTGCTGTTCTCCAGTGGAATCCCGTATGCTTTAGAACCTACCGGCAGGGTTCCAGGCAGTGAAGCATCTAGAAATGCCACTGATGAATTGGGCGGGCTGCAGAAGGCCACGCGGGAACAGGCGAACAGTTTGGACGTCGCTTGAATCTGTGCATGGATCTCCAGCCCGACGACCCCGCGCAGCTGAGAAGAAACGCTAACAAACAAAAAAACAAACAAAAAAACGAACAAAAACAGTTTAATACTGTATTATTCACATTTTTAGCAACGCACAACTACACTTAGGTTAACATATTACGTTCAATGACGTTTGTGTTACATAATGTTGTGTGAAGGACTGGAGGGTAAGTCAATGATACTTAATCCTGACAAAACCTTTATTAGCCAAAATGCTAACGCTAGTGTTAGTGAATAACGTTACTGTCTGTGGAGAGATTTCTACATTTTGCAAATTATAATTTTTTTAAGAGTTTAAGTCACTGTAAGTTACAAATTGTTCCACTGTTGTGTAGTAAATTCCTTTAATACAAATTACGAGTTTTTTTATTACTCAGCCATCCTCAGAAACGCCAAAATATCATTTTTCACTTTTTTAGAAACTTGCCCAGGGAAGAGGAGAAACCCGTCATAAATCTGGTCAGGCATCATTAGATATACTAATCTCATTTTGTGCAGGGAATGAAATGATTCATCCATCCACCAACATATTCTCCAGTAAACGGAATCTAAGCATTCTTTATAGTGAAGGGACCACTCTACAGAAAAAAACACACTGATTGCAGAAAGCTATGACCACTTTTTGAATTTAAGATGCGAAATGTTCTTTAGTAGTAAGTTAGTATGTTAAGTTACTATCGGCACAAACCTTTATATAAATTACACTTATATAAAAAAAAATTAGCTAAATCTTCACTAAAGCGCAAACACTTCTCTAACAGCTTACTGCACATAAATACTGATTACTGCTAACAGGATCATCTCGTAAGCTAACAGTAGTTAATTTAGTGTCAGGACTAAGCAATGTTTTTTACTCTTAGCGAAAACACATTATAACGTGACTTAATGTAGTAGAATATTAAAGAAATCTGCTTTCCAGGTTATTTGTTGGCAGTAGACAGGGTAACGTTATGACCAGTAAAGTGAGTGAGAGAGAGAGATGTGATCCGAGACCATTGATTACATCGAGCCAGGTTAAGGCTTTCCTTATAATGGATATCAGTTTAGCGAAACGTAAAAATAAGACGCTGTTCATGACCAATGATGTGTGACAGATCTGGTGTTGCTGTGTTACTTTAGTACATTAAATCACGTTTAAGCTCTTTTCACACCACGAATTAAGCGTTTTAGAATTTCCTTTATATACGCTAAAGTTACTGTAAAGATCCTTAGCTGGCTTTGACTTTTGGATGAAAAACACAATGTATTTGACATTTAGCTAGCTATTGTAATCTTACAATTCTGAATACCACATTAGCTAACTGTGACTTTAATATATTAGTTAACTTACATTTTGCTGCTAAAATGTTTTCACAACTAACTTAATGAAAGGACCGCGTTTAGTAACATCATATGTCTTAGCTTGCGAACAAGTATTTCTAAGTAGACCCGCTACATGAACGATAGACGATACTGAACATATTCACTCTGTATTGGTGTATTCTGGTGTGTTTCTGGTTATTTCAGTGGCATCTGTACAGTTTTAAACAGATGAACAGTTTTTCAAAATGCTGTCAGCTCTGGAGACACTGATGACCCCTGTTAGGGTGAGACTGAACACTATAACCACTTTCTTACCTCTTACTCTGTATCTTGGGTTGCAGTTGGCACGTGGATCCAGACGTACAAACCGTTCTAATCGAGGCATTGCACTGACTGACACAGCGGACACTTTTAAATCTAATAAATGTACATAACTTCTGCATTAATGTGCTGTTTCCCGACGAGGAGGCAGCCATTGCCGTGTGTGTATATAGAGCGGGGTAAAGTGGGAAATGGAGTTTTTTAGCTGATCGGTGGGTGAAGGGAGTGTATGGTTGCTTTAAAGAAACCACATTTCCCATAATGCTGCAGTACCCCGCCTCTTCCGTTTGTGACACGCTATTTCATCCTTTTCCGTCGTGCGTATCCAGCTGTGGCGGGAAAGTCTTTTCGCGTGCTCCGAGTCTAGCCTTAGTTTGTCTTTAAAAACAGTTTTAATAAGCGTCTCCAAGGCAGCCCAGCAGTGGAGCGACAACCGTCCTTTTCCTTTGTGACGACACCGTTGTTTTTTCTGTTGTCGCGGGAAATTCCACGCACAAACTTTGAATCAGGCTGTGAGTTTGTGTTTAGCTATTTTAATAATTGTTTTTATGACAACTTGCTGCAACAGTAGTAGCACATTCTCCGTTTTTGTCTCTCTCTGGCGTCTACATTTTCCGTTCTGGCGATTAAATTCACGGTTAAACTTGAGTTTGCTTGTTTGACTCATATCTAGACTAACACCATGGCAGCGCAACAGAACGGTTCTGTCCACGCGAATGGAGTCGCTAACGGCCCGGCGAGTCCTAAGCGGCCTGAACCGGAAGGAGAGCAGTTCAGTTTCAGCGCAGAGCCAAGTTTGGAGCACATCAGGCGGCTGCAGGCTGAGTTCACGGCCGAGCGTGACTGGAGCCAGTTCCACCAGCCCAGGAACCTGCTGCTGGCTCTGGTGGGAGAGGTAGGGGAGCTGGCTGAACTGTTCCAGTGGCGAGGGGAGGTGGCTGAGGGCCTGCCAGACTGGAGCGACCCAGACCGTGAGAAGGTCTCCCAGGAGCTCAGCGATGTGTGCATTTATCTGGTGGAACTGGCAGAGAAGTGCAGGGTTGACCTGCCTCAGGCTGTGCTGCAGAAGATGGAGCTCAACCGGAGAAAATACCCAGCCAGCAAAGTGCACGGATCGGCTAAGAAGTATACAGAGTACACGGACTGAGTGTGCTACATGCACCCTCACCTAGCTACAAAGAGCTGCTGCTAGATGCCAGAGATTTTCCCACCACCAACACTGGGTTATTTTAGTAGTCGAACTTTGTATGTTGTTAGTTTTACTCAGTTTGTTGTCGACAGACCTTGAGTGTGTTTCCACTTTCCAAAGCGACTTCTTTTAATAATCGAAACCTTAAGCACTCTTACTTTTATCCACATTTTATGGACCTGAATACGAGTTTTATGTCTTTGCACTTGTGGACTAGTTAAGCCACAACACTGTGCTTTTTTATCCCCAGGAATGCCAGTTGTACCCACTTTGGACATGCAAAACTAAGATTAGAGCTTATTTTTTTTCTCTTGGTGTTCTGCTTCACTTGAAATGCCACTTGCATGACGATCTGTTTAAAATGACCAGAGTTTACTGTTCATATATGTGAGTAAGAGCCACAGGGTTCATTATCATGTTCTCTGCTGTATGTGAATTGGAGAAAATTGATCTTACCCTTTTGGTGCGTTTTGCCAGCACAAAGTTTACCCTTGGGTTACTAAAACCACAGTTAGGGCAACATGTTTTCTACCAATAAACTGTTGTGGTTCTTCACAGTGCACTTACTGTCCGCCTCCTTCATTTGTGTTGAACTTTCACATTCAGGATGCTGTGGACTCATATTTCTTTAAACGAAGCTGCACCTGTGTAGGGTCAGACTGAGTAATCTTTAATCCTAATAGAGTGAAATGAACAATGAAAAGTATTTTGATTGGCTGCAAACTGTTTACTTTAAAAACAAACCGCAGAGGAAAGTTCAACTTCATGTGGGTTTTTAAGAGCATGCAATTACACATTACACCTGAATGAACAATGTGTGGAGGATATTATTATTAAGTGCTGTCAAGTTGGTTCAGACTTCAGTGACCATATGGGTGGTGATTCTACAGAATGTTGTTTTTTTTGAGTCTTCAGGCTCAATAATTAATTGTTAAGAATACAAGTAACATTACAAAATTGCTATACAGTTCACTCTTTAATAGGCGGTGATTCTGAACACGACACTAGTCCTGGAAGCCCCCCATACTGCATGTTTTATAAAATATTTTTTTGTTATATCACCCACTCCTAATGCTGAGTGATATTGATAAAATTAAATATCAATATTTTCCATATGTATCATGGTATATCAATATTTTGTGATACAAATCTGACAGCTTCCTCTTGAATGGATGGTTTTGTGTTTTTTGTTACTCTTAAAATTACACTGAGTCTCACCCACCATTGTAGACTGTGACCAGGCATAAAATTGGCCACATTTACAGAAAGGATTCATTTATTTAGTTTTTATGGTTTATGAACCACTCTGTCAAAATAATCTGGAGCTCCCCAAAAAGACACACATTACAGGTAAAGTTATCGTCAAAGTTGTCATTTTTTTTTGCTAAAAAAAAAGTTTATCACATCACAAGAAGCCGTGAGCTGTAATGTGAAAGACTGCTTTAGTGTTAATGTTTACATTTTCAAAGCTTGCCTTTTGTTTTGATGTTTTTGTTTTCAGGTCTGTAAAAACTTGTCACCCCCCCGTGAGCTGTTCTGAATATTGGTGTAAAATAGACATGCTTTTGAATAATACAAATGTTGATATTGATAGCTAACTTTTCTGATTTATTAATTTTTCACAATTGCTTATTGTCTGAGTCCTAATTGCCCACCTCAGGCAGAAAAGGTCTAACAGCATTTATAAATACTTAGTGCATCAGTGTTTTGTCTGCATTTAGACCCAAACATTGTAAATCACAGTGTTCAGACTGGCTCTTGTGATCGTCTTGTGGAAGTGCAGCTGATGTGCGTGTGTGTGGGGAGAAAAACAACGCTGTAATAAACCTTTCCCTACACACTCGGGGCACCAGGTGCTCGGCTGTGTCTGATCAAAAACCTGCCTGTGAATCTAAAAGCCTATGCTAAACTACTTGAAACAAAACTGCTTTAAAAGTTTTCACAGACCCTTGGCTCATGGAGGCCCTTTGTGGCTGCCTACCTTTGCTTAGTACATGGGTCACATGTTTAGAAGAACCTTTTGTCCCATTTCAACAAAAAATCAAACCACCTTAGGAGCCACAACATTTTATGTCCGTTTTATTCGTGTAACATTTTAACATGTTGCTGTTAATGCATCTTAGTATGTGCTAATGTAGTATAGGCTAAAAAACATAATTACAGGCTAGTATAGGCTAAAAAACATAATTTAATATAAACAAAGACGTAGACTTACATTTCTCTGTTTTAAGCTTCCGCCACTTTTCTCACATCTCTGGCAGGGTACTTTTCTACAAAGGTAGAATGGTTTCTTGTAAAATATCCCTTAATGTTCAGTTTGGTGGTAGACAGTTTCTTATTGCAGATTCAACATATCAGGAAACCAGCTAGAGAGCATTTAAATGCAAGCGAATCTGTCCATTCATCTCTAAATTCTCGATGTTTGTCTTGAATCTTTCTCTTCTTTGCCTTTTCATTAGCTACTAGCTTGGCGAGATTGCTGTTTGTGACCAACAGTGTGTGTGCCGATCGTCAGTTTTAAAGGTCAGGGAATTAGCGCAGTTAGCAGTAAAAGAGCCGCACGCGGCTCTGGAGCCGCATGTTCCCGACCCCTGGCTTAGTGTAAAGACCACCTCTGCCTTAAAGCCCGTATCTCTTTGGGTTGTATTTTTTCTCTCTTATGATGTTTATGTGGTTTTACCTACTAAAACTAGTCATCATTCATTTTAGATGACCATTTCCCAACCTCTCTTTATGCCTTAAAACTACTTTTTACATGTAAACACTACTGATACATGTAAATGAGCTCTGTTCTGAGTGGCTGCCCTCCTGTAGCGCATGGTTTGTGCTGAGACACTCCCTATAACTTCAGTGTGAATGGGCAGGGCTAAACTGCTGTATTCTGATTGAGTGGATATAATAAAATGAGTTGGTTTTTGTGACATCACAAAACAATGAATTCATAACAGGCTGTTTTTGCAGTTTAGTTTCCATATAAGAATGGTATGAAGTGGGGAGTGAACAGTACCTTTAGAAACTTTAACAAGGTTTATATACTGCATACTACAAAATGTGAGGAATATATGTTTTCCATTATATGGACCCTTTAAAAGTGGAAGGTCATGACCCCAGGCTTAATAAACAGACATATAGTTTCTTCACAGGCAGAACTCCCACTTCAGTTTTTTGGCCTACATGGAGCTACAGGAGCTTCTAGATTATTTAAAACCAGCTTCAGCACTTTCTGAATTACAATGTGTTTCACACAGCGTCTGAGTTCACTGCTTATTGTCTTTAAATAAGACGTTGACGCAGAGTGTTGGTATATTACTCAGCATGTTTTCTGCTGTTGGGGTGATATGCAGAGTTTTTGTTGCTCTTTAGCTTTATTGGTATTCAGAGCAGCATTCTGGCTGAGAGGACCTCTAACAGCGCTGTATGTGTGAGTAGAGAACTCAGTGGTCGGTTTTCCTCCATTTTTATCTCTCCACATGAACACCAGCTCACTGTTTCTCTCATTCTCCTGGATTTGTTTTTCTCACAGTGAATGCTGTGTGGATTTTACTGTGTGTTCATGAGTGGAAAATTACTGAGCGTCCAAATGAGCAATAAAACACAGAGCAGCACAGAGATACATATATGCACTTGCATATGTATATATATATATATATATATATACATATATATATATATATATATATATATGTTACTTGCACTGCCCTTTCTTTCTTTCTTTCTTTCTTTGCCTTGATCTGTTGGCTTTGCCTCTATCTTCATCTCTCTCAGCTCTCTTTTTCAGCTCTTTTTCACTTTCTTAGCTCTCTTTTTCAGCTGTCTCTCTCAGCTCTCCTTTTCTCTTTCTCAGCTCTATCTCTCTTTTTCCTATATTACAGATTCAAAATGTATTACAGCATATTATTTGCCATTTAATCACTTTTTCTTGTTGTTCTTAAAATGTTGAGTACAATATCTTTTGTTGTCTGTAATATTTACATTTATATTGTATAACGTTATTCTGCCTTAAATCCTTAAGTCATCCATCCACTTCCATCAAACAGTGATCAAAGTACTGTACCACAGGGCTCTAACTCAACTCTTTATACTCTCTCTCTCCCTCCGTCAGAATGACCCTGGTGTCTAATTTTAAACTCCAGTGGTCAGCATAGTCAGTGCTGGATTTATCATGGAGAAACTCTAATCCTACTGAAGGGATAAAGACACTATTAGCAATGTTACGCTTTGTCCTGACAACAAGCAAGTGTTAAAATAAACTCAAAAAGTAAACAAACTGCAGACCTATTAGCTGATAGCTTGAGACTTCAACAATAAATTGGGAGTGTCATCTTCAATGAAAATACATTTTTTTAAAGATTAGATATTGTAACTACACATTTTACATTTGTGTAGCACATTTATACGCAATATCAGTAGCTTACAGAGGATAACAACAACAAAAAACCTGTTAATATCCTCATAAAAATAGTGAAGGGCTCTCTTTTCTGTACTTCATGAAATAGCTTATCTTTCTCCAATATTGTCTAGTCTTTGATTGGCTGGACCAGATGCATTAGTGTTAAGTAATGAGGAGGCAGCATTTTTGATGCAGTTTGAAACAAAACTCTGCTACACAGACCTCAGTGGATTGCCACTTCAAAAAACACCTACAAAGTGCGACAAAATAAACCAATGTTTAATTGGTGAAAACGATTCGTTGATTTCCATGTAACTTGCCGTTTTAATACAGAATTCAGTGGATGTGTGTGGCCATATGTGTGTATATCCATTATTTTATAAAGAAGCTCAGCCAATCAGATTTCAGAACCAGAACTATCTGTGTTATAATGGGGTTTGTGAGAGTTTGAAATTGATTTGGCCCCACAGTGAGTCATCATGGCCGCAGCAAAGCGCTAAGCACATTTATTTGTTTATTTATTTATTTATTTCCACACGTTGAAGTGTGTAAAGGGATAGACATGCTTCTTGCTTCTGTTACATTTCTCTCACTTTCTTCTGCTCTCTTTCTCTCTTCTCTCACTCTTTCTTGCTCTCTCTTTAGTAAAATGGAATGATGTGATTTCTTTCTCTTGTTTCTCTCTCTCTCCGTCTATCCCCTCTTTACCTCTTTAACTCTCTCTAATCAGCTCTCTTTCTTTCTCAGCTCTCACGTTCTCAGCTGCTGTATCTTTCTGTTTTCTCTCTCCTGTCTCTCTCTCCTCTATTCCTGCTTGTCTGTCTCTCTCTTTCTGTCTGTCCCTCTCTCTGCTGTCCCTCTCACTGCCCCTCTTTCTTAGCTCTCTGTCTTTCTCTCATTTCTGTCTCTCTTGTCTCTTTCTCTCCTCTCTTTCTGCCTCTCTCTCTCTCCTCTCCTGTCTCTCTTTCTCTCTCTCTCTCTCTCTCTCTCTCTCTGTCTGCTAGTAGGTTTCTCTGAGTAGTAGTAGTAGTTGTGTGTATGTGTGTGTGTGTGTGTGTGTGTGCTGCATTAAATTTCTCTTTTAACACAAGGACACACACACATGCAGAGTGTGTGTGAGATATGAGTGTTGCTACTATAGCGACCGTTTTTGCCTGGCTGTAATAGACATCCTT